TGGCTCCTGCTGCTTCCTGTTCAATTTGAATGATTGTGGTGTGGGGTGGGGAGAGGGCTCTGGGCTTCCTCCTGTAACAGCATCTGAGGCTCTTTCCAAAATTGCAATGCTCCCGGGGGTGCTTGGAGCATCTCTGAAAAATGGCTTTCACGTAATCATGGCTCTCAATGACAGAGTTGAAAATTCTCACTAGGTTACTTTGGCCCAAACCTCCTCATTCCTGAATACTTCCCGCTGCCCGTGATAAACAGCTGGTCTCTTAAAATGGGGGGGATAAGACTTGACCTTGAATATTTGAATTCTTATAGTGGTTTCCAAAAGGGGCCACACAAGAAAATCCACTGGGGTTCAAGAGGGATATAATAACGCTTCCCTTTTCATATCATTTTCAATTTCTATATATATGTTAATTTATCATGTGTAAAATATATTAGTACAGTAGCATGTGCATATAATTTAAAATGGATAAACTAAACATATTGAAGGATATGCTTTAATTTTTTTCCAGAGGAGAATGAATATCAAAAACGTTTGGAGGCCACTGCCTACAAGAATAGATGATATAAGCAAACCAGTCACATTGGTTCTGATTCCTTGGCGTCCCCTACAGCTTTTCACCTGCACCTGGCAGTGGCTTCAGGCTCCCACACTTTCCTCCCTTGCTGACCTCAGTGACAGCGGCCCTGGGAGAGCGTGGTCTGGGCAGCACCTGGCACATTGGATGCCCTGCCTCTTGTCAACACCTGGAACCACTACCAGGCTGAACTGGCTTTGGCCAGGCACATCCTAGCTTCTTCAGCCCCTGTGATATAGAGTCATAACACCACAGCCTCAGAAAAGTCCTAGACTAGTGGTTCCCAAACCTGGTTACACATCACAACATAAAAAGTGGGGGAACTCTTTAAACACCCAGCTCCACCCCTGGAGAATTAGGTTCTTAGGGCTGGGGTGGGACCCAGACATTTATAATTTTTAAAAACTCTCTTAGTGATTCAAAGGCATAGCCAGGCTTTGGAACCAGCCATGTAAGACAATTTCTCATCCTGTCCTTGAAGGAAAGATGTGAGACTTCAACTGAGAAAATATAGAGGACAATCAGGGAGACCATTGACCAGACTGAGGTCCAGGGGTAATTCTGGGAATACCAATTTTTCCTAGTTTGATAACACAATCTTTAAGGATCTAAGGAGTTAGTGAAATATTTATTAAATGGTATGAGTTGAATGAATGAAAGAAACATTCATCAGTTGGAAATAAACCAGCATACCCTTGAAGACTTTCTCCTTCTCCCTCTCCCTCTCCCTCTCCCTCTCCCTCTCCCTCTCCCTCTCCCTCTGTCATGATGGTGGAGATACCAATGCCACCTGCCCACTGGCATCCCTCTCCCATAGTGTCCTCTTCTTCTTCCAGGGCATCAATTGTTCTGAAGCAGAAGAGATGTGTTTTGTCTAAGACTTCTTAGGGCCTAGAGTTCTCTCTCTCTCTCTCTCTCTCTCTCTCTCTCTCTCTCTCTCTCTCATTTTTGTTTTGTTTTATTTTTTTCCCCTTTCTTACCTATCTCCTTACCCCTCTCCCCTTTGTAAACTATCAGCTTGTTTTCTTTATCTATGGATCTGTTTCTATTTTGTTTTGTGTATTCATTTGTTTTGGTTTTTTTGTTCACATATAAGTGAAATCATATGGTATTTGTCTTTCTGTGTTTGACTTACTTCACTTAGCAAAATACCCTCTATCAGCAGTTTCCAACCTGTGAGTCGTGACCCCTGAAAATACATCCTGCATATCAGATATTTACATTACCATTCATAACAGTAGCAAAATTACAGTTATGAAGTAGCAATGAAAATAATTTTATGGTTGGGGGTCACCACAACATGAGGAACTGTATTAAAGGGTCGCAGCATTAGGAAGGTTGAGAACCACTGCTTCCATTCGTGTTCTTGCAAATAGCAAGATTTCATTTTTTGATGACTGAGCAATATTCCATTGTATATATGTACCACTTCTTATTTATCCATTCATCTATCAGTTGACATCCAGGTTTCTCCAGACAGAGAGGGACTGTGGTGATGTTATAGGAATCTGGGCCAGTGCCTACCATGGTAATTCACTCTCTTTTCTGGGTCCAACAGAATCTGAGAACCCCTTGCCCCACCCCAGACTACACAGGAAGAGCCGAGTGGCTGTGAGTTGGTTCTCACTGAGCATGCCAGCTGATATCCACATGGCAGATCCCAGCACAGGAAGCCAGGTTCCTGCCACACAGGACAGGAGTGTTGCATTGCCTGCCTCCCAGCCTGGGACATCATCACTCCCTTGTCATTTAAGAGATTTGGGATCTGACACAGGGTGCAACCAAGCTCCTCTTCCCTTCTCACCTCTACTAACAAGGCCTCTTGAGCCTTCTTGTGAGCATAATCACACTGCGGGCTTTGGAGCAATACTGACCTTGGTCTGGACAGCTTACCGAGGATTGGCACCAAATAGGCCTGGTTGCAGGTTGTTCCCACTTGGTGGCTCTGTTCTTGGAACTGGGTTCCTGGCTTTTGCTGAGGCTTTTCATATACCTGCACCTGTGATCCCTGCTTGGCACCCACCCCTTCTTGGCTTTCCTCAGTCGTCCTGAACCTCCCCAACTCGGAATCCAACCCTGGAATTTCTTTTCTCCATCTCTCTGTGGACTTGTGTATCTGTCTATCGATTTATTTATTTTGTCACAGCTTTGTTGAGATATTCACATACCATTATAATTCACCCATTTAAAGTGTACAACTCAGTGGCTTTTTAGAATATTTAGTTATACAGTGATCAACACAATTTTAGAAGATTCTGTTCACCCTAAAAAGAAACCTCATACCTACCAGCAGTCACTCTACTTTCTCCAAACCCACCCCCAGCCCTAGGCAACTGTCAATTTACTTTCTGTCTCTATGGATTTTCTTATCCTAGACATTTCTTGTAAATGGAATCATGCAATATATGGTTCTTTATGACTGGCCTCTTTCACTTAGCATAATGTTTTCAAGGTTCGTTCATATCGTAGCATGTATCAGTATTCCATTTATTTTTACTGCTAAATAATATTCCGTTGTATGGATATACCACATTTGTTTATCCATTCATCAGTTGAACATTTGCATAATCCAAGGTCATGAAAATATGCTTTTATATTTTTTTCTAAGAGTTCTACAGTTTTAGCCCTTACATTAAGTCTTTGATTCATTTATAGTTAATTTTTGTAGAGGAGTGGCCCAAAGGCGTTCTTTTGCAGTTGTCCAACACAATTAAAAGACTATTCTTTTACCCCATTGAACTGTCTTGGCACCCTTGTTGAAAGCTGAATCTTTAGATCAGTTTGGGGAATATTGCCATCCTAACAATATTAAGTTTTCTCATTGGTGAACACAAGCGTATTTTCATTTATTCCCTGAATCTTTTTAAAAAATATTTATTTATTTGAGAGGGAGGAAGGGAGGGAGGGAGGAAAGGGGGGAGGAAGGGGGGGGAGAGAGAGAGAGAGAGAAAGAAAGAAAGAGAGAGAGATATCAATTTGTTGTTCCACTTATTTATGCACTTATTGGCTGTTTCTTGTATGTGCCCTGACCAGGGATCAAACCTACAACCTTGACCCATTGAGTCAACATTCTAACCAACCAAGCTACCCAGCCAGAGCCCCCTGAATATTGAAACTATCAAATGCCCATAACTGTAGAACTTCATGTCTTTTTTGCAATATTTTGCCTCCCTGACTTGACTTCCTTGTAATGGGTCTGTCTCAACCCAAGGGGACACCTAGCTATTAGGTTGCAAATCAAACTAGTCTGAGCCACCACTGTCTACAAATCCCTTAGCTCAGTGTCTCCTCATTGAAGGCATGAGCAGTGAGAGAGGATTCTTGGTGATGGGGAGAATGTTCCAGAGGTATATGATTTCCCTGTGATATAACCAGAGTTGGGAAATAGAAACAGAGGATCACACACATCTGAATTGTGCCACCAAATTTAATCAATAAAGGCCCAGGAGAGGTGGACAAGTCCTCAAGGATGCAGGTTTCCGGGAGACTACAGGTGGAATGGCTTGAAATGACCCCGTCTGGGAGGAGCATGCTTTGTGCTGACCTGAGTCAGTTCGCCAGCACACTGTCATTTATGGAGAGTACCCAGGAGCTCACAGCAGGACATCTCACAGGTCCCTGAAATTTCTGTGTCTTCTTCCTCTTTCCCAAGAAGCAAGGCATTTCACTTTCACAAATTAATCCTCTGGGCAATCAGACATGCTTTGTTTTCCCTGCCTGGGACTGAGAGTGGTTGGATGGCCCAGCTTTCCCCTGGAAGCAGGGCCTGGGAGCCTGGACGCCTGCCATGCCCAGGCAGAGAACAGCAGGGGTCGCTTCCTTGGGCTTTCGCATCTCTCAAAGGCAACCATCATTCCAGCCTTCCACCTGAATACTCATAAACAGTGATCCTGTACATGATCTTATTGGGGTGGATGCTTCCAGAATGCCAGGCACCTGTGCTCTTGGGACTCCACATTGGAGCATATTAACAGTGCAGAACTATACCCCTGTATACTTTGTGCTGATGTGAACAAAGATGGTCTGTTTTTTAGTTTGAATTTTCCAGTCTAGATCTGCAGGGCACAGTTCCAGCAGGTGGGGGAAAAACCTTCATGGATGCCAATGCACCACTGAGAACAGAGAAAGCCATGTGTCCCTGGGAGCACTTTTATGGGCCAGAGCTGGATTTTAATATTCTAGACTATTATATCTATAAAATTCCCGCAAATCTTCTTTTCTACCTGTTTTAATTAGGTTAGCTTAGGTTAGGTTAGGTTGTTAGGGCTGAGGTTACAAATGAACCCTGAAATCTCATATGGCTTTATATGTTAAAATGTTATTTCTCACTCATGCTAGGTCTCCTGAGCCATTGCCTTGGGACCTCGGGGAGGGGCAGTGACAGCTGGGAATGCCTGTCAGGCTAACGAAGTCCTTGCACCTCCAGGTATGGCTCTGCGGGGGCAGCATGGAGGTCCTGCCTTGCTCACGGGTGGCCCACATCGAGCGGAAGAAGAAGCCATACAATAGCAACATCGGCTTCTACACCAAGAGGAATGCTCTCCGGGTGGCTGAGGTCTGGATGGACGATTACAAGTCTCATGTGTACATAGCGTGGAACCTGCCGCTGGAGGTAGGGTCCAGCAGCCCTCCCTGTCTTCCAAGTGATCTTTGTGTTGGACGGGACATTGGTCCCTTTAATAAGTTGATGCTTCCTCCCCAGAAAGATGCTCAGACTTGCAAAATTATGAACGCATTTTGAGGGTCCACAGAGCTCCAGGTTTTAGAACCCTCACTGTACAGGGGGACGGTGACAACAGAAACCTCAAAATCTATTTACAAGGACTAGAAGGGTCGTATTGGGTTAGTCCCAGTCTTATTACAATCATCTGGATGCCCTGCTCTGATCATGCACTGTGCTCAGAAGATCCTTGCCCAAAACTTTTGGCACCAGACCCTGTCATCTGCTCTAACGGCTTGCCCTCCCGTGGAGCTCCAGCTGCCTCGTGACAGGTGCCCCCACTGTCTGCTGAATCCCTTGTTTACATGGCTCTTCAGCTCTTCCCCTTATTCTGCTCAGAAGGTAGCCTAGGGAAATGCCCGTGTTACTGATGCCCTTTGAGTCCCAGCCCCACCACTTACTAGTTATGAGATCTTGAATGAATCCATTTAGACAGCCTTTGAACCTTGGGTTCCTCAGCTGTAATAGCAGGTCCTCCTTCCTCGGTGGTTGTGAGAACCACATCTAAAGTACTAAGTCTAAGTACCGGTGACATCCTTAGAGCAGCGCCTGGCAGGGATATGGGAATGCCGGTGCGTGTTGTTTGTCCTCCACGGCACAGCTGGGTGAGCCGAACCCCCAGCCACAGCTGGGTTTACCTCATCAGCCAGATGTCCAAGCCATGCCCTTGAGAGGATTGCCTAGAACAGGGGTGGGCAAACTTTTTGACTCGAGGGCCACAATGGGTTCTTAAACTGGACCGGAGGGCCGGAACAAAAGCATGGATGGAGTGTTTGTGTGAACTAATATAAATTCAAAGTAAACATCATTACATAAAAGGGTACGGTCTCTTTTTTTTTTTAGTTTTATTCATTTCAAACGGGCCGGGGCCGGCCCGCGGGCCGTAGTTTGCCTACGGCTGGCCTAGAATGTTCCTGCTGAGAAATGGCAGCCCCTGTCTTTCAGGAGGCTGGAGCCCAAAACAAGGTCTGTGGATAACGAGGATAAAAGTGAAGAATTTATATCACTGTTGTTACAGTTGTGGAAATAAGGTTCTACAGTATTGAAAACCCCCATGGCAATGGAGTGCTTTGACCTGTGACACTATACGTGATTTTACATGTTATGATATCAAGATAGGCAACATCTGGTGAGCCCTTACTATGTCCCAGGCACTAGATAAGTTCCTTATTTGTAAGATCTCATTTAGCCCTCAAAACAACCTTGAGACTTAGGAACCATCTGCCTCGGTATCCTCATCTGTACAACAGGGATTGTTCACATTTATCTCCTAGGGCTCCTGGGAAGCTAAACATGAGGCTTAGAACAGAGCATGGCAAAAATTAAGTGCTCGGTAAATGCTAACCTGATGTGAACCTAGTGTGATGTCCATTTTATAGATGGGTAAACCGAAGCTCTGGAGGTTAAAAGTGACTTGCTTATTAAGACCCTGCACATAGCATGTGGCGGGGAGGGATGTGAAATCCAGTCTTCATTCACCTCTGCCCGCACCCTGTGATGTCAGCAGAATAGGTGTTATTTTTCCCATTTTGCAGATGAGGAGCTGTGACCTAGAATGGTGGTGTGACTGAGAGTCCGAAGACCTCAGGGCTGCCGACTATCCCAATGCCTTCTCCATCATTACAAACAACCTCTGTCCCTAATGCCAGTGTCCCCTACCACACTTTGCACAAGTGACCATTCTCATTAATCATGCTAAGTAAATTAAAACAAAGACTTAAATATCGGTGCCCAGGTTTGCTTTTGAATTTTAATGTTTGACATTTAAAGGGCTGTTCCTTTGGAAATCATTGTTTGGCTGCTGAGGATGAAGTCTTAATGAAATCATTGAACTCTCCTGGACCCCCAAGATGCTGCCTGGCCTCCCCGCCTCTGTGGAGAGCAGCCTGCTCCCCTAGTTCAGGGCCATCTTGTGGCCGAGTTTGTGGAGTCATATTTCAGCTACTTTATTTCTCCCTGTCAGCACACAGCAGCCCATTACAGGTTCATTTCTGTAAAAGCAGAGTGAATTATTCATTAGGACATTATTACAAGCTTTGCGATGGAAAATTATTTTCACTTCTGCATAAATGAACTCCACAAAGGGCCAACAAAGGGGGAAATTACACCTGTGCAGAAAAGAAAGACAGGAGGTGGTGTAGAGGCATCTATTTTCTTGTCTTAATCAAATAATCCCTCTAATTGGCTCGGATAGTCACTCAGGAAATGTGGGAGAGGCGCAGCTGGGAATACAGGGGGACACATAGGGTGTCCCGGGACCCCTTTCGCACAGCGATGATCGGGGCAGCTGATTGGGGACCGAGTGATGCGCTCAGAGGACAGTAGTGTCTGGCTTGGGAATAGATGATCAAATAGGTGCCCTTCTTCCGACCTTCCAAGTAAGCATGCAGAGAAATTAAGATTTCTCTCTGACTGTTTTCCCAAGCGTGAAGCCACCTGTGCTTCTCTTCTGCCAGAGCTCCCCGGTCACTAATGCCCTTTGCTTCTCTCTCCTTTCAGAACCCAGGAATCGACATAGGTGATGTCTCTGAAAGAAGAGCCTTAAGGAAAAGTTTAAAGTGTAAGAATTTCCAGTGGTACCTGGACCACGTTTACCCAGAAATGAGAAGATACAATAACACCATTGCATACGGGGAGGTAATTAAGACCATACATGCTCTCAACTTGGCTGGCTGAGCCATGGGTTGTATATTGCTTTGATGGGGGGAAATAAGGAACAGAGCCATTCATTCATTTACTCATTCATTCATTCATTCGTTCAGTGAGTGGATTTTGATGGTGCAGTCCCTGACAGCAGGGCTCTCACCAGCTGGTAGAAGAGACTAAAGGAATGTTACAATGGGGCATGGGCCATCCTTCAGCCTGTGGTGTGGAGTGGCTGATAAGTATCTTTGGAACATTTGGATTTTGAAGTCCCCTGGGGCCTGTAAATAGGACATTCACTAGGAAGTTGGGTATAAAGTGAAGTGGGGACTGGAGCTCTCCATTGCTCAATGCTGTGGCCCAGAGCCATTTACCACCAAAGAAAGGGTGCAGATGCGCTTCTCGGATTTCCTCTGATGAGATAATATCACCTTTTAACACCTGAATTTTTTCTTATTATAAATGTCATAAATACAGGTTTTAGAAAAGTTTTAAAATAATAATAATAGCAATGAACACTTACTGGGTGCTTTCAAAATGCCAAGCACTATTCTAAGTGCTTTTTACATATGAATTCATTTCACTGTCACCTTATGAGGTAGTAGTATTATTTCCCATTGTATTGATAAGAAAGCTGAGACCTAGAGAACTTAAATGAATTACCTAAGTTTTACAGCCTATCAGTCAAGTAGCTGGGATTGGATCTAGGCATAGATAATGTGTACATTTTGATGTATGGTCTTCTTTATTGTGTGTGTATATTGTTTTTTACTAAAAATATATATTTTATATACTCACATATGTACATTTTATACACACATTCTCCATCTCTGAGTATAGACTGATGCTAGCAAGGCTCTCTTTGACTTCGCGTGTTTACTCTTTCTATAGCTATGAATTTTCCTACTTTATGCCTGGTGCCTTTTGGATGACATTGGTTAATAAAATTATATAGTTTTTTAAGTGTACAGGTCTATAACACATCATCTGTATATTGTATTATGTGTTCACCATCCCAAATCAAGTCTCCTTCCATCACCATTTATCCCCCCCTTTACCTTATTCTGCCTTCCCCCACCCACCTTTCTCTCTGGTAATCACCATACTGTTGTCTGTGTCTATGAGGGTTTGTGTGTGTGTGTCTGTGTGTCTGTGTGTGTTTGCTTAATCCTTTCACCTTTTTCACCCAGCCCTCCAATTCCCCTCCACTCTGACAGCTGTCAGTCTGTTCCCTATGAGTCTGTTTCTTTTCTTTTTCTTTTTTTATTGATTTCAGAGAGGAAGGGAGAGGAATAGAGAAACATCAATGATGAGAGAGAATCATTGATCGGCTGCCTCCTGCACTCCCCAAACTGGGGATCGAGCCCACAACCCTGGCATGTGCCCTGACCAGGAATTGAATTGTGACCCACTGTTTCATAGGTCAATGCTCAAGCACTGAGCCGTGCTGGCCGGGCCTATGAGTGTTTCTATTTTGCTTGTTAGTTCATTTTATTCATGAAATTCCACTTATGAGTGAAATCATATGGTACTTGTCTCTCTCTGGCTTATTTCAGTTAGCATAATGCTCTCTAGGTCTACCTATGCTGTCACAAAGGGTAAGATTTCCTTTTTTATGGCTGAGTAGTATTCCATTGTGTAAATATACCACAGCTTTTTTATTCACTCATCTATAGATGGGCCCTTGGGCTGCTTCCAGATCTTGGCTATTGTAATCAGCTGCAGGTTAAATCATCAGGGTCCAGGCGAGGTGTCTCCCCTGAGCAGGAATTAGGAAAGGGAAGCTTGCTTCTTGCAGGCGCAATCTGTGTCATGCAGACTCCAGAGCCAGCCTGCTGGATGAATCCGTTACCCAGAGTGGCTCCTCTCAGCTTCCATTCCTTCATCTGTGAAATGGGGGAAGGAAAATGCTTACCGCATGGGGTTGTTGGGAAGATGAAACGATGTGTTCTTAGAACAGTAACTGGCACCCAGCAGTAATTATTAATAGGTCCTTGTCTTTTCTTCTTCAAATAAAAAAGCATGGTTTGGGGGTATTTTGTTTGTTTGTTGTTATCAAAGTAAGATCAAACATAAAGGAAGCATTGGAAAATGGTGGGCAGTGAATGGATTATTTGTAAGACAATTAGGTAAATTGCCTAGCTCTTTGGAAAAGAAAACAATTTAGATTCTAACAGCTTGCCATATCCCAAAGTGAATTTCAGATGAGCTATAGCATTAAATGAAAGAAAAGAAACCATAATAGAACCATAGGGAAATAGATATGAATCTAATCTCTAAAAGGGGAAGGAAGGGCTTTCTAAGAATCAAAGCCATGAAAGAAAATGCAAAGGAAAAGAATAATGGATCTGAGCTCATAAATATTAAAGTAATCTATACATCAACCAAATAGAGAAATATCTGCCGAACTGGAAATAGGTATGCCATAAATACTGTAGATGAATGGATAGTATCATTAATATATAATGAGCCCTGAAAATTGATTTAAATAAAAAATTTAACCTAAATAAGAAAATTTAAAATCCCAGAGAAAAATAAAGTACAAAAGAAAATACAATAGTTGAAAAACACATGAAAATTTCTAATTTATTTTATAATCAAAGAAGTGAAAACTAATTTTAAAATACATTGCGGTAGCTTTTCTCCTACTACCGAGTGAACAAATACTCATTGTTAGAATATGTGCTGGTGCTTTGCCAGCAAGGTCTTGGTAATATGAAAAGCCACATATCCTCTCGTGAGAGTGCAAATTGAAATGAGCTTTTTAAAAAGCAATTTGAACCGCATGTATTACAGGGCTTAATGATAGCCATTCCACTCTTCTCCTAAGCAAATAATCTGAAATGAGGACACAGATTTGAGGGTAAAATTGTTCATCTTAGTGACTTTTTTTTGATAAAAAATTCTGAATCTGACTTGAAGGTTAGTTAAATATACTATCTTAATGGTTTGAATATAGTTTGTAGCTATTTCAAAAGGTTTGTACAAAAGTTTAATGACTTGAGAAAAGTATTGATAATGTGATTCTTAAAAGCAAGTGGGACAGGCAGGTTTTGTGTGGGGACTTTTTCATGTCTCCCAGGTATCACTAGTGTTTATGTGATAAGATTATAATTAGAAGGACAAAATAGTATTAACAAAGGAAGAATAAAAATGGGGAAATGCAGGAAGATGGCCTCTTTTCAGTAATACCTTTAATGCATACATTCTGTAGAAAATATAAAGATGAAAACAAAACTTACTCCCAATTCCCAGTCATTGTTAACATTTTCAGCACCTTCAGTTTGCTGAGCTCACCATTATCTGAAATGTGTTTCAGATGGACTATTGCATTAAATGAAAAAAAAATCACACTAGTCAAATTTAGTTTGTAACAAAATCTACCATTATGTAGATACCACTGTTTTTTAAAATATATTTTTATTGATTTCAGAGAGGAAGGGAGAGAAAGATAGAGACATCAATGATGAGAGGGAACCATTTGCTGCCTCCTGCACTTCCCCCACTGGGGATAGAGCCTGCAACCTCGGCATGTGCCCTGAACGGGAATCAAACCGTGACCTCCTGGTTCATAGATTGACACTCAACCACTGAGCCACACCAGCTGGGCTATTTGCATTTTATACATTCGTTAAGAATAACTTTGTAGCCCTAGCTGGTTTGGCTCAGCGGATAGAGCGTCGGCCTGCAGACTCAAGGGTCCCAGGTTCGATTCCGGTCAAGGGCATGTACCTGGGTTGCAGGCGCATCCCCAGTAGGGGGCGTGCAAGAGGCAGCTGAATCGATGTTTCTCTCTCATTGATGTTTCTAACTCACTATCCCTCTCCCTCTCCCTTCCTCTCTGTAAAAAAATCAATAAAATATATATATTTTTTAAAAAGAATAACTTTGTAGTCAAATTCAGTTCAGTGACAAAATTTACCAACATTCAGACAAGTGTAATTTAATGCTTACAACTGGTAGTTCTTGTCACCACACCAGACCCCAGCCAGTGACGAAGGGAGACAGACGCCTCTGAGCAGATGTCAGCCCTGGCGTTTCTGCCTCACTGGACATCCAGTGCCAGTGTCCAGGCTTACTTAGGCAATCATTCACTTTTCATTCATTTTAAAATATTTTTACCTATATTATCTAGAATGTCTTAAAATGATTTTTAAAGAAAGGTGTGTGTATGCTTTATATCCTGACTGTTGCATGTATGAGACACTGCCTTCCTACATGCAAAAGCATGTCAGTGTGCACGAAACATGGGGCCACCAACTCCCCTGCTCAAAATACTATGGTCGGTCCATACTGCCCTCATGGCCTGGACTGCCCTAGCCCCTAGTTCACTTTTTCACTTCTTTTTTTTTCCTTTAGGCATTATTATATGAAATATAACACATATACAGTGTGCATAAAGTATACATGTGCAGCGTAACAATATAAAGCAAACATCCACATCACTACTACCCGGCTGAAAAACAGAACGTTGCCAGCATCATTCCCACTATCCCTTTTACCATTTAGCTCAGGAGTCACCTCCCCTCCGTCTCTGAACCCCACTTGTTGATTTACCCAGTTAGTTCGGTTTCCATGGAGAACATAATCTGGAGGGGACCGTGTACATGGAGAAGGCCAGCATTGCCGTTTTCCCGCTGGTTGCGATTGCAGGGTGGTGGGTAGGATGGACACCCACATAGAACACAGTGTACCTGGAGGCCAAATTAGGGGACTTTTGTCTGTTCCTCCGAAGGTGCATTCTGAAACACTTGGTGCCTGGCCCGGTGTCTGCATTCAGTAGTTATTTTTTGAATATATAAATAAACATTGCTGGAGTCTGCATGATGGAAAGGCCTTTGTTTGCTTTTTGATGACTGTTTTCCATGCCTCTGTGTCAGCAATGAACTGAGAAGCTGACCTGTGATTCCCAATGTTATTAAAACCAGCGTTGGTGCTGAAGCCACTTTGGAAAACCAATGGCTGACCAGTGTTTCTTTGTCCAAATGTTTCCTGAGATCCTTTTTCATGCTGGGGAGGGGGGGCCGTGTGGGTGAGGGTCACAGACACAGGATTGGTGCCCACAGCATCCACTGAAGGGCTCTGCTAGAGGGATCGCCTCGCAGACGCAGGCCTTGGTCCACATGGGGTGTCGCTGGACTTCCCATTGAGTGGCTGGGACCGTGACATGGTGGAATGGTAGTTGGGCAGCAGCTCCACCAGATGGGCTCTGATGGATGATGTTTTTCCTGTTCCTGCAGCTTCGCAACAACAAAGCAAAAGATGTCTGCTTGGACCAGGGGCCGCTGGAGAACCACACAGCAATACTGTACCCATGCCACGGCTGGGGACCCCAGGTAGGAGCATCCCTGACCAGGAAAAGAGTAAATTCAGCGGCCCACAGGGGATTTGTGGGACTTCTGTTGTCTTCTACTTGGGTAGTTGTTACCTGTTCTGTGGGGAGAGTTCTGGTTGTTTCTCTGTGAGTCAGGGAAAAGGTACACAAGTGGTTACATCAGCACAGATATTGAGAGGATCAACGGGCATGGGTCATACAGAAAGGAAAATGTAAACTGGAGGATCATTTGCTAGTAGGGAAGAGTATGTGTTGTAATTATACCAAAAGCCTGCTTACAACTTCAAAGAAAGAGTTAGCACATTCCCTGGTGAAAACCTGATTGACATGTCCACCCTGAAAGGCCACCATCAGTTTGATCCGAAGAATGACCTGGTCTGTAAGTGTTGGTGCGAGAGCCAGGTGCCAACTGGGAAGGAGGAAGGTGCTTGCAGTGCATTTCAGAGAACACGTGTTCTCTGATCTCTCATTAGAACACACAAGATACCTCAAAAAGGACAGAATGATCAACCAACAAAGTGAAAACAGAGCCTGATAAATGAATTTTCTTTGACAGCTTTGTGTGCTAGCCAATGGTGGGGGTGTGTGTGTGGGGGGGTGTGCGTGTGTGTCCACACATACACACACACCACACACACACACACACATACACACACACACACACAAAGAAGTTAGCAGAAATTCTCAAAGATTGGGAATAAGCATATCCAAAAATGTCATTCCACTTGCCATTCATAAAAATTTAAAACATTTTTATGTCAATCAATAGCAATAAAGGGCAAGCTACAACTTGGGAAAACATTTATTATTCAGCTCCAGAGGAGTACTAGATGTTTGGTTCAAAGCCAGTCTCACAGATTCTCCTGTGAAAGGAAGACACTGGACAAATTACCCTGAAACCTCCCGTTGTCTCTCTCATGTCCTATGAACACACCTATTCACATGTAAATTTACATTCATACACAAGTACTCATGCATGCATTCATAAAGGCTCACAGTTTTGTCTGCTCAGAGAACTTTGTTTCCCATTAAGCCAGGACCTGGAAAGAAGAGTTGTGTTCCCTCTACTATCACCACAGGTAGTTCTCATAGTCCAGACCCTCTGCCCTTCAAGGTGATGGGTCCTTCGAAGGAGAAATGCCAGACAAGTCAAGTCTTGAATCCTTTGGTCCTTGCAACCACTCTGGGAAGTAGCAGACAGCTACTGAGGCATGACGGGAAAAGTGCCTGTTACAAAGCAGGCTAGAATCCAAGCCCTCTAGCACAACCAAAGCATTTTAAGTTCAAATGTAATCTCTTTAATTCAAGATTGATTACTGGGCCCTACCAGAATTTACAATTGGCTAAAACTGCCGTGGAGAGCAGGAGAATGCCTGGGTAGACGGGCTCCTTCCCATTGGGAAATGGGGCATTAGCATCAAAGGCAGCATGGACTAAAGAATCCAGTGAGTGTCTTCATCCATTCATTCACTCGTTCTCTCAACAGATACATCTTGATCACCTACTGCGGGTGCTAGTCACAATTGTATTTGGTAGCTGATACGATATCCACCCTGTTCTCAAGTGGTTTACACTTGAGGGGGAGAGACAAGTAAAGAGGCAGGAAACCTACAGCATAGTAAGTGTAGAAGGAGCTAGATAGCTCAGGGCGCTGGGTGCTGGGAGACAGAGGTGCCCTGTTTGCCTGGGGCTTAGAATGCAAGAGGGAAAGAAGTGCTGAGAGAAGGGAGATGGAGAGGCAGATCTGCAGCGGCCTGATAATCCCCCACAGCACAGGTGCCCACACGTCAGTGTGCCGGGGAATCACCTGGAAGGCTTGTGAAAGCACCCACTACTGGGCCCCACCCCCAGAGATTCTGAATTAGGAGGTTGGGGTAGGGTCTGAGATTTTGTGTTTCTAACAAGTTCCCAGATGATGCCAGGGATGCTGGGACTTGACCCTGAGGGCAGTGGAGAGTCCCTGAAGGGCTCACCTTGGGGAATGATATGACTGTGCAGAGATCTGGAGGGGTTCAGAGAGAGATGGATGCTCTTGCCACGTAGCTGATTATGGATTGGCAGACCAAATTAGGCTGCTCGTTGCTGCCTCCAGTTCTAGGATGCATACTATAAGTCGGCCATGTTTGTCTCCCATCAACTGATTTTTAAAAATATATTTTTATTGATTTCAGAGAGGAAGGGAGAGAGAGAAACATCAATGATGAGAGAGAATCATTGATTGGCCACCTTTTGCACACCCCACACTGGGGATCGGGCCTGCAACCCTGGCATGTGCCCTGACTGGGAATCGAACTGTGACCTCCTGGTTCATAGGTCGGTCGATGCTCAACCACTGAGCCATGCCGGCCGGGCAATACTTTAAAGTAAGTCTAATGCTTGCTTTGCTCTACCACGTGTTCAGAATTAGAGTGCACTCTCGGTACTACCCTCCGGCTGCCAGGCTGCCCCTCCCCTGGCTCGGCAAGGTTTCTCTCCTTCCTCCTAAGAGCTCCCTCTACGCCAGGAGTCGTTCCCACCAGTCACATGCCTGGGCATCTTTTTAAACTGCTTCATAAAGTGCTGTGGGTTAATGGAGACTAATTCAAAGCTCTGTAATAAGGCAACTCCCAGAAGAAGGAATTGGTGTTCCATGGACATTGTTAGCTTAATTAATGGACTCTGTTGTAATTTATTGTCAAACAGCAATTAAACAGAGATAAAATAGGCACTGAGGAGGGTAATTTCCTGTCTTGTAACAGGTGTTTGTCAACAAGATGGAAATGGTTCCCAGCCATTCAGAGAGCCCGTTCACTGGTGGGTGTCTGCCAGCGAGCTCATGACCAGCCTTGGTTTGGTCTGGTTACTAATTTGGATTAGACAAACATTTATTTCTTTTTTGAGCCTAACCTTCATTTAAAAATAGGATCTCAAGGACACAGCAGCCTTTGGTGTTAGCTTGACCCCATTTAGAGCAGAGTCTTGTTCAAGGATGTGACAGCTCCTCACCCCGCTGCAGGCTGCTGCCATCCTGGGCCCAGGTCCGGGGGGTCCCCAAGCTGGAGCAGCCAAGGTCGCCCCACAGGAGCAGAGGCCATGGGAATGGCCTTCTTGGCAGCCCCTCCCTGTGTTCTCTCTCAGCCGACCCCCTTACCCTCCCCAACTGCTGCTTCTGATTCCCTTGGTGGCAAAGGTCAAAAAGAGAGAAAGGGGTGGGCAGTGCTGCCCTGAGGGGCTCAGGGGCATGGAGCATCTTCCTGACCCCTTAACACTTCTGATGGCTCTGAGGCTGCTCTAAGCTGAGCAGTTTGCCTGAGGGCCCCGCCGTGTAACAGGCTGCAGCGAGGTCCAGGGCCACAGGCTGGGGTCCTGCCTACAGACAGCTCTGAGCGCTCAGGCCAGAGGCCTGGCTGGGCTGAGGCAGGGAAGCAAGATGCTACCGCTGATAAACCCATTTCTATTTTAGTAACACATTCAGTGCCGTCTCGTAGGTAGTGACTGCCCCCTTCACTGATGAGAGACTCATGTAGTGTGTTCCATCCCACTCTTCAAACTCAAGCTCTGTGACTCCTGAACTTGAGCACTCTGCTCTGCCATCTGGGGAGCATATCTCCAGTCCTCGAGCCCCCAAATGTTCTCTAGCCCATAGCGGGCCATGGTAGAAAGAGCTGAGCAAGCATAGAGCCAATGCTAGGGAAGTGGAATGTCAGAGCGAAGGAGAGGAGGTGGGGGGGCATACTCCACATTTGAGGGACAATCAGGCAATTGGCTGTGGCAAGTGATCGAGGGTGGTCAACAGGGAGAATAGTACTGAGAGCCTCAGGGCTTCCCACCCAGTATCTCAGGTGTGGTCCACGGAACTGCTGGCCACCAGGAGCTCCTTACAAATGCTGATCCCTGAGTCCCAGACACACAGAAAGAGGGGCCCAGGAATCTGCATGTCAACACTCATCTCCAAGTGCTTTTTTTCCCCCAATCGACGCAATTATTGATCATCTGTCATGTGCAAAATTGTGTGTTAGACATATAATAGTGAAGGCAGGTCCAGGTTATGCTTAGTGTTCCAGCCTAACTTTTTAAATTCATAATACTATTTCAGTTTTTATATAATTGAGTTTTTAAGATAAATTTCACTTTTTTAAAAACTCATCACTGGAGGATATTTTTTGCATTGACTTTTTAGAGAGAATGGAGGGGAGTGCAGAGGAGAGGGAGGGAGAGAGAAAGAGGCAGAGAGAGAGAGAGACATCGATGTGAGACACATCAATTGGTTGCCTCCAGTTCACACCCAGACCAGGGCCAGAGATTGAGCCTACAAACAAGGTACATGCCCTTGACTGGGAATTGAACCCACGACCCTTAGGTCTGCAGGCCAACACTCTAACCACTGAGCAACCAGCCAGGGCTCACTCTTCTTAACGTATGGTTTTGTGAGTTTTGACAAACATGTGGTCCAGTAACCCCACCACAGTCAAGACATAGAGCAGTTCTGCCACCCCCTCCATTCCCTGACCCCTTTGGAGAGAATCCTGCCTCTGCCCAGGTGCTTTACACACATCAAGCCTGAGGGCCGGCTTCACTGCGAGTGTGCGGGGGACCCCCCATAGATGCTGCCCATGTACAAACATAGAACGTCCCCGCCGCAGGCTCCTCCCCGGTGAGGACCATAGCTCTCCAGCCGCCCATGCGTGGACAGGGCATGACCAGCACAGGGTCCAAGTGCTGTGGCCCTGGGGACTTTGGGGAGAACTTTGAAGCAGCTACTCTGTAGTGGGGCATTCTTAAGACAAGGTGTGCACCATGGGGAGGAACTGAGGGGTGTCAGGCTCTGTGCTAAGGACCTTTCTGATTTGCTGGGCTCCAGGGAGGGCACCACGGGTCCCTTCTGTTTGTCCTTCTGTCAATACATTTTATTCTTCCTCTCCCTCTTTTCTGAGCAGCTCACATCCATCCCCTCAGTTAATCCATCACCAGAATGACAGACGAGAATTCTTTCATCCCATAATTAAATTTAATCTGATCTTG